GCCACACAGTCCCAGCAGCAGTATAGACGACATGAAAACCAAAGACTCTGAATTCAAAAGATAATTTCAAAATAAGCACACAGAATCCATATCCACATCATCTTCTTCACTGCCATTACACTCGATGCACCGGTGGAACCCCTCGACCGGTTTCGCCCACGCCACCACGTAGGTCTCTTCAGGAAGGTGAACTCAAATGAGTTCGTGTGCCCGAAAAGAGGAAGCAAAGGCCTTGCTTCCTCATAGATATAGCCTCCTTGCACTTGAAAGTGCTATCCCCCGCGTTCCGACGCGAAGCTCCAGCAGGCAGTACGTACAGGTTCAAGAAAATCCGGAATACAAGAGAGAGAGAGAGAGAGAGAGAGAGAGAGAGAGAGAGAGAGAGAGAGAGAGAGAGAGAGAGCGGAGGAGGAAGAGGACGACGACGACTACAACGGACATAAAGACAACGACGACGCGAGAGAGAGAGAGAGAGAGAGACGCACCTGCTTCACCCTGCTGCACGCTCAGCTCCACGCGCTGGTCGCTCGTCGCCGCGCAGCTGCTCTCTGCTCCACGCGCTCGCTACTCCACGCGCTGCTCCTGGTGCTGCTCCACGCGTGCACGTCGGGGGACGAGTTCGAAAAATGGCGCGGGCCAAGAACACTCCCTTCGAAAAATGGCGGCGGTGAACTGCCCCCCCGCCGATTCGAAAAAAAAAAAAAAAAGTAACCAAGTTCACCAAGATATTTTCCGCCCCTTCCGGACGGTCGCAAAAGGGTCGAAAAAATAAGGGGGAATTTTTCTTGGGCGCCCCAAGGCGTGAAAAAACACCCTGGGCCGCCCAAAAAAAATTTTGTCGTTGGCCTGGGGGGCCTCCATCCGGACTGGTTACCAGAAAGTGGTACCGGATTTCGGATCCCGGAGGCTCTGAATCCCTTTCCGGGGGTCCGGATCGTAGCCATGTTCTTTTCTGAGTGTAACGACCACAACTTTTTTTTTCTTTTTTCGTGAGAGTACGTGAAAGAAAATGAAGTGGTACCCAGGCTCGACAAACTCGGAGCGCAGTGAAATTCAGGGTCGGCAAAAACAGGCTCGGAGGTACTAGTGGTTCAAGAAAACTTTGACAATCCAACCTGTACAGGGGAGATGCTGCCAGAAATTTCCTCGTATTAATCAGAGATAGGATCAAACTTAGCTAGTAAGGAGTTGAGGCGAGATGTGATATGAAGTTTTATTCTCCATACACTTAAGTACAAATTTTGGTATTGGTCTGTGTTGTGTTACAAGTTCTTTTCGTTCACTTGGATTCAAGGTTGACTGGTTTCAGTTTGATCCTACGAGGATCATCATCTGTTATCTCTTGGTAACATACTGGTTTCCGACTCAACTTTAACTCACTATTGCGACTAAACCTAAGACCTACTCCTGTGGATTGAATTGTTTATTTTGGTTTTTACCCAGATTTTTATTAAATGATTATTTAAAAAATAATAAGTGTTTTCTTTTGGAAAGGTTTCATAATAAGGGTTGGCGTTTATGTGAATAAGGCAAGGGGTGTGAGCGTGGAGGCTGGTTGAAGTTGACCCTATGTAGTGTGTGGTATGTTGATGTTGAATCTTTGCATGATTCAAGGTATGTTTGTGATTTGGACTCGGGATTTAACGTGGCTACGATAATTTGTATATTTGGAAGGAAGTCACGTTGTGATTGTGAGAGTGATCGCCTCATGTTCAGTAAATCCCACTATGCTTATACTTGTGTATTCGCACAGTTTGATTGACCATGCGTGAGGGTTGCCACCACAAAAGGTCGTAGTCTACCTACTTCTCATCTCCACAATATGCAAAAGAGGATAGCGCACACAATCGCATTCGC